GTGGTGGTGAGCGTGGTGGTGGTGAGTGTGGTGGTGGTGGTGGTGGTGAGTGTGGTGGTGAGTGTGGTGGTGGTGAGTGTGGTGGTGGTGGTGGTGAGTGTGGTGGTGGTGGTGCTGGTGAGCGTGGTGGTGGTGGTGGTGGTGAGTGTGGTGGTGGTGGTGAGTGTGGTGGTGGTGGTGGTGGTGAGTGTGGTGGTGGTGGTGGTGGTGAGTGTGGTGGTGGTGGTGAGTGTGGTGGTGGTGGTGGTGGTGCTGGTGAGCGTGGTGGTGAGTGTGGTGGTGGTGGTGAGTGTGGTGGTGGTGGTGAGTGTGGTGGTGGTGGTGAGTGTGGTGGTGGTGGTGAGTGTGGTGGTGGTGGTGGTGGTGAGTGTGGTGGTGGTGGTGAGTGTGGTGGTGAGTGTGGTGGTGGTGGTGAGTGTGGTGGTGAGTGTGGTGGTGGTGGTGAGTGTGGTGAGTGTGGTGGTGAGTGGTGGAGGTGGTGGTGGTGGTGAGTGTGGTGGTGAGTGTGGTGGTGGTGGTGGTGGTGGTGAGTGTGGTGGTGGTGGTGGTGAGTGTGGTGAGTGTGGTGGTGGTGGTGGTGAGCGTGGTGGTGGTGGTGGTGGTGAGCGTGGTGGTGGTGAGTGTGGTGGTGGTGGTGAGTGTGGTGGTGGTGGTGAGTGTGGTGGTGGTGGTGAGTGTGGTGGTGGTGGTGAGTGTGGTGGTGGTGGTGGTGAGTGTGGTGGTGGTGGTGAGTGTGGTGGTGGTGAGTGTGGTGGTGAGTGTGGTGGTGGTGGTGGTGGTGAGTGTGGTGGTGGTGGTGGTGAGCGTGGTGGTGGTGGTGGTGGTGAGTGTGGTGGTGGTGGTGAGTGTGGTGGTGGTGGTGGTGAGCGTGGTGGTGGTGGTGAGTGTGGTGGTGGTGGTGGTGAGTGTGGTGGTGGTGGTGGTGAGTGTGGTGGTGGTGGTGAGTGTGGTGGTGGTGGTGGTGGTGAGCGTGGTGGTGGTGGTGGTGAGTGTGGTGGTGGTGGTGAGTGTGGTGGTGGTGGTGGTGATGGTGGTGAGCGTGGTGGTGGTGGTGAGCGTGGTGGTGGTGATGGTGGTGGTGGTGAGTGTGGTGGTGGTGATGGTGGTGATGGTGGTGACGGTGAGTGGTACGGGTCTTCTGATAACCTGTGTGTCTGTCTGTGTGTGTCTTTCTGTGTGTGTGTCTCTGTGTGTGTCTCTGTGTGTGTCTGTGTGTGTGTGTCTCTGTGTGTGTCTGTGTGTGTGTGTATCTGTCTCTGTGTGTGTGTCTGTGTGTGTGTCTGTGTGTCTCTGTGTGTATCTGTCTCTGTGTGTCTGTGTGTGTCTTTCTGTGTGTGTGTCTCTGTGTGTGTGTCTGTGTGTGTCTGTGTGTGTGTGTTTTTCTGTGTGTGTCTCTGTGTGTGTCTCTGTGTGTGTATCTGTCTGTGTGTGTGTGTCTGTGTGTGTCTGTCTCTGTGTGTGTGTGTGTCTGTCTGTGTGTGTGTCTGTGTGTGTCTCTGTGTGTATCTGTCTCTGTGTGTGTCTCTGTGTGTCTGTCTATGTGTGTCTGTGTGTGTGTGTCCAGGCACGTGACAACGATGGTGGTAGTGGTGCTGATGCTAGTGGTGGTGGTGACGGTGACGGTGAGTGGTACGGGTCCTTTGAGTCGGCAGAACTCAAGCTAAGTGAGCCTCAGCAGAAGGCACAGGCCCAGTTTCCATGGAGCTTCACCACCACCACCACCACCACAACAACAACAACCACCGCCACAACCGCCGCCACAACAACCGGCAGAGCCACCGTGGTGCCAGCCGGCGTGGCGGTCGTGATGATGCTGGCAGTGGCGGTGATGAGGCTGGCCATGGCGGTGGTGACGTGAGTTTTTAGTGGGCGGTGGTGGATCGCACCGCAGACAGAACACAGCACACCACACAGCACACCACACAGCACAACACACAGCACATCACACACACACCACACAGCACACCACACCACACAGCACACAGCACCCCACACAGCACACCACACACACACCACACACACCACACACACCACACACACACACACCACACACACCACACACACACACACCACACACACCACACACACCACACATACACACCACACCACACACCACACACCACACACACCACACACACCACACACACCACACACACCACACACACCACACCACACACACCACACACACCACACACACACACCACACACACACCACACACACACCACACACACACACTACACACACACACCACACACACACCACACACACACCACACACCACACACACACTACACACACACCAACCACACACCACACAACCCCACACACACACACCACACACACACCACACACACACCACACACACACCACACACACACCACACACACCACACACACACTACACACACACCACACACACCACACACACTACACACACACACCACACACACTACACACACACCACACACACTACACACACACACACCACACACACTACACACACCACACACACTACACACACTACACACACCACACACACTACACACCACACACACCACACACACCACACACACCACACACACCACACACACCACACACAACACACCACACACACACACCACACACAACACACCACACACACACCACACACACCACACACACCACACACACCACACACACCACACACACACACCACATACCACAACACACCACACACACACCACACACCGCACACCGCACAACACACACACCACACACACACCACACACACACCACACACACACAACACACACCACACACACACCACACACACACACCACACACACACCACACACACACCACACACACACCACACACACACACCACACACACACCACACACACACCACACACACACACCACACACACACCACACACACCACACACACAACACACACCACACACCACACACACACCACACACACACCACACACACCACACACACACCACATACACACCACACACACACAACACAGCACACCACACACACCACACACACACAACACACACCACACACACACTACACACACACTACACACACACCACACACCACACCACACACACCCCACACACACACCACACACACCACACACACACCACACACACACCACACACACCGCACACACACACACTACACACACACCACACACACACACCACACACACACCACACACACACCACACACACACCACACACACACTACACACACACACCACACACACCACACACACTACACACACACACCACACACACTACACACACACCACACACACTACACACACACACCACACACACTACACACACACACCACACACACTACACACACCACACACACTACACACACCACACACACTACACACCACACACACCACACACACCACACACACCACACACACACACCACACACAACACACCACACACACACCACACACACACACCACACACACACCACACACACCACACACACCACACACACCACACACACACACCACATACCACAACACACCACACACACACCACACACCGCACACCGCACAACACACACACCACACACACACCACACACACACCACACACACACCACACACACACACCACACACACACCACACACACACACCACACACACACCACACACACACACCACACACACACCACACACACACCACACACACACACCACACACACACCACACACACCACACACACAACACACACCACACACCACACACACACCACACACACACCACACACACCACACACACACCACATACACACCACACACACACAACACAGCACACCACACACACCACACACACACAACACACACCACACACACACTACACACACACTACACACACACCAATCACACACCACACCACACACCACACACCACACCACACACACCCCACACACACACCACACACACACCACACACACACCACACACACACCACACACACCGCACACACACACACTACACACACACCACACACACACACCACACACACACCACACACACACCACACACACACCACACACACACCACACACACACACCACACACACTACACACCACACACACTACACACCACACACACTACACACACACACCACACACACTACACACACCACACACACTACAAACACCACACACACTACACACACCACACACACTACACACCACACACACCACACACACCACACACACCACACACACACCACACACACCACACACACACACCACACACACACACACTACACACACACACCACACACACACACCACACACATACACACTACACACACACACACTACACACACACACCACACACACACCACACACACTACACACACACTACACACACACTACACACACACCACACACACCACACACACCACACACACACACCACACACACCACACACACACACCACACACACACCACACACACACCACACACACACCACACACACACCACACACACACCACACACACACCACACACACCACACACACACCACACACACCACACCACACACACCACACACACACCACACACACACACAACACACACACCACACACACACACAACACACACACACACCACACATACACCACACACACACACCACACACACCACCCTAACCACCATCTCCCCCGCACCTCCTCCCAGCAGTGCCGTGCTCTCTCCGCTGCTGGACCGCTCCGGGCTGATCCCGAGCGTCCGCTCGGTCCGTCCCGTGCCATCGTCCCACCGGGCGCCACAACCGGCACCACCACCGCCACAACCGCCCCACCGCCACCGCCACCACCACCACCACCACCACCGCCACACCTCCATCCCCTACGGCTCGCGCCTGTGGCAGGCAGGGACCCCGTGGCGAGCCGGTGGGTGCGGCTGGACCACCGCTACACTAAGCGTCTAGAGGAGGAGGTGGAGGAGGAGGTGGAGGAAGAGGAGGAGGTGGAGGAGGAGGTGGAGGAGGAGGTGGAGGAGGAGGTGGAGGAGGAGGTGGAGGTGATGGATGGGGTTTGTGGACAGAGTGGTGAAGACGCTGTTGCCAGCAGCAGCAACAGCAGCAACAGCAGCAACAACAGCAGCAGCAACAGCAGCAACAGCAGCAAGAGCAGCAACAGCAGCAGCAACAACAGCTGTTGTGGCGGTGGTGATGATGGTGACGATGGTGATGGTGATGCTGCTGATAATGCTGCTGATGATGATGATGATGCTGATGATGATGATGCTGATGCTGCTGATGATGATGCTGCTAATGATGGTGGTTATGGTGGTGATGCTGCTGATGCTACTTTTGCCGATGATGGCTTTACCACGGCCTTTCAGCTCATAGCCGCTGATGGCGGCGGCGGCGGCGGTGGTGGTTGTGGCTGTGTCGACAGTGGTGGTGGTGGCTGTAGTGGTGGCTGTAGTGGTGGCTGTAGTGGTGGCTGTAGTGGTGGCTGTAGTGGTGGCTGTAGTGGTGGCTGTAGTGGTGGCTGTAGTGGTGGCTGTAGTGGTGGCTGTAGTGGCGGCGGCGGCGGTGGTGGTTTTTGTGGCTGTGGTGGCGGTGTTGGTGGCGGTATTGGTGGCGGTGGTGGTGGCGGTGTTGGTGGCGGTGTTGGTGGCGGTGTTGGTGGCGGTGTTGGTGGCGGTGGTGGTGGCGGTTTTTGCGGCTGTGGTGACGGTGGTTGTGGAGCTAGCGGCGGCCTTCTCTGGGAGCTGGGATTGAGCGGCATTCTGGGCGGCGAGGGCTGCACCCTGGCGGACCCCCTCGTGGGCTACCCCTGGGCGGGGGGGGTGGTGGGAGAAGGGGGTCCCCTCGCGGGCTACCCCTGGGCGGGGGGGGGGGGGGGGAGAAGGGGGTCCCCCCGCTGAGACCCCCGCCGAGACCACCGCTGATTGGGTGGAGGAGCTGGCCGCTCAGCTGTTCCCGCAGCTGCTGCCCGTGTGATGGGGGGGGGAGGTGGGGGGGAGACGCGGGGGGGGGGGGGGGAGACACGTGGGGGAGACACGTGGGGGAGACACGTGGGGGAGACACGTGGGGAGACACGTGGGGGAGACACGTGGGGGAGACACGTGGGGAGACACGTGGGGGAGACACGTGGGGGAGACACGTGGGGAGACACGTGGGGAGACACGTGGGGAGACACGTGGGGAGACACGTGGGGAGACACGTGGGGAGACACGTGGGGAGACACGTGGGGGGACACGTGGGGGGGGACATGCAGGGGGGGACACTGGGGACATGCAGGGGGGGACACTGGGGACATGCAGGGGGGGACACTGGGGACATGCAGGGGGGGACACTGGGGACATGCAGGGGGGACACGTGGGGAGACACTGGGGACATGCAGGGGGAGACATGCAGGGGGAGACACGTGGGGGGACACGTGGGGAGACACGTGGGGAGAGAGACGGTGGGGGACATGCAGGTGTGAGATGTGGGGGAGACACGGGGGGAGACGGTGGGGGACATGCTGGGGGAGACGGTGGGGGACATGCTGGGGGAGACGCGTGGGGGAGATGCGGGGGGAGACACGCGATGGGAGGGGGGGGGGTTATCTGTGGGGTTGAGTGATTTTATTCTCAATTATGTTGGACCAGCTCGGCTTCGGATTTTGCAGCAGCATCATCAGCACCACTGCCTCCACCACAATCATCATGATCATCATCAGCAGCACCACCACAGTCATGATCATCATCAGCAGCACCACTGCCTCCACCACAGTCGTCATCATGATCATCATCAGCAGCAGCACCACCACAGTCATGATCATCATCATCAGCAGCACCACCACAGTCATGATCATCATCATCAGCAGCACCACTGCCTTCCACCTTCGCCATCATCACGGTGACCATCATCAGCCTCGGCATCACCGTGGGTGCTGCTCGGTTACAGCACTTGTCCCGACGGCGCGGGCCGGCTATACGGAGGGGTGTCTTTGTCTTTGTGTGTCTGTGTGTGTGTCTTTGTGTGGGTGTGTGTGTGTCTGGTTGTGTGTCTCTGTGTGTGTCTTTGTGTGGGTGTGTGTGTGTCTGGTTGTGTGTCTGTGTGTGTCTTTGTGTGGGTGTGTGTGTGTGTGTCTGGTTGTGTGTCTTTGTGTGTGTGGGTGTGTGTGTGTGTGTCTGGTTGTGTGTCTGTGTGTGTCTTTGTGTGGGTGTGTATGTCTGGTTGTGTGTCTGTGTGTGTCTTTGTGTGGGTGTGGGTGTCTGGTTGTGTCTGTGGGTGTCTTTGTGTGGGTGTGTGTGTCTGGTTGTGTCTGTGGGTGTCTGTTAAGGCTATACGGAGGGGGATCTTTGTCTGGGTGTGTGTCTGTGGGTGTGTCTGAGTGTCTGTATGTGTGTGTCTGTGGGTGTGTGTCTGGGTGTGTGTCTGTGTGTGTGTGTCTGTTAAGGCTATACGGGGGGTCTTTGTGTGGGTGTGTGTCTGGGTGTGTCTGGGTGTATCTGTGGGTGTGTGTGTCTGGTTGTGTGTCTGTGTACCTGTGGGTGTGTGTCTGGGTGTCTGTTAAGGCCATATGGGGGATCTTTGTGTGTGTGTGTGTGTCTGGGTGTTTGTGGGTGTGTCTGTTAAGGCTATACGGGGGATCTTTGGGTGTGTCTGTGGGTGTGTCTGTGTTTCTTAGATGTCTCTGTGTCGAGTGTCTGTCTGAGTGTCTGTGTGTGTCTTGTGTCTGGGGGTGTGTGTGTGTCTGTGTTTCTGGGTTTATCTGTGGGTGTGTCTGTGTGTGGGTGTGTCTGTCTGTTTCTGTGTCTGGGTGTGTCTTTGTGTAGGTGTAGTGTGTCTCTGTGTGTGTGTTTCTGTGTCTCTGTGTGTTTCTGTGTCTGGGTGTCACCACTCGGTGACAGCGATTCGTCTGAACCGGCTACCTGGGCCCCACCCCTAGGTCTACTCGGCCACAAATGAGTTTCCCGGTGCGGTGTCTGAACAGCGCTGGCACTGGGGGAGACAAAGGCGGCCGGGAGTGGTGGTGCTGTGACCCACCCACACCGTCTGTGTTTGCCACAGTGCTGGGAGTCTTCATAGGCAGCGCTGCTGCTACTTGCTCCTAACAGCACTTGCCCCTGCAGTCTGTTAGAGGCTGCATGGGGGACCTTTGTCTCTGTAGGTGCTGCTAGCTACTGACAGCACTTGCCCCTCCAGTCTGTTAGAGGCTACACGGGGGAGCTTTTTCTCTGTGTGTGTAGGTGCTGCTCGCTACTGACAGCACTTGTCCCTACAGCCCTGTTAGAGGCTACACGGGGGAGCTTTGTCTGTGTGTAGGTGCTGCTCGCTAACAGCACTTGCCCCTACAGCCCTGTTAGAGGCTGCCTGGGGGAGCTTTGTCTCTGTGTAGGTGCTGCTCGCTACTGAGAGCACTTGCCTCTGCAGTCTGTTAGAGGCTACACAGGGGAGCTTTGTGTGTAGGTGAATGAATGAGTGAGTTGAGTATGGGTGAAGTGCATGAGTGGGTGTACGAGTGTCAGTGAGTCTGTGCGAGTCTGTGAAAGTCTCCGTGTGAAATTCTCTGTGAGAGTGTGTATGTCTGTGTAAATCTGTATTTTGTGTGGGTCTCTGAATTTCTGACGGTGAGTCTGTGTGAGAGTCCTTGTCTTGTGTGAGTCTGTGTCTCTGTGTGAGTCTGTGTGAATCTATAAGTGTTGCGAGTCTGTGTGTGCGAGTTTGTCTATCTGTGTGAGTCTGGAGTGTGGCTCTGTGGGTCTGTGTGAGTCGCTGTGGTAATCGTGAGCCGGGCCGTTAAAAAATAAATCAAAACGCGATGAATTTCTGCTTTCTCAAGACGGAAAAAAAAATAAACTCGATTCTCCCGAGACCCACGTTGTCATCCTCGTGCCGACTCGCACATCCACAGACTCACACAGAGACCCACAGACTTGCACAGAGACCCACAGACTCGCACAGAGACCCGCAGACTCGCTAACACAGAGACCCACAGACTCACACAGAGACCCACAGACTCACCACACAGAGACCCACAGACTCACACAGACCCACACACTCACACAGAGACCCACACACTCACACAGAGACCCACAGACTCGCACAGAGACCCACAGACTCGCACAGAGACCCACAGACTCGCACAGAGACCCACAGACTCACAGCAGGTGCCACGGGTCGACTGACTGAGATGAGTGGCTGGTGTACCACCTGTGCCCCCTGCTGTGCCAACTTGCTGTGCTTTAGCCACCCGGTGCTCCGCTCATTGTTGTGAGCGTCGCTCCCCCGCCCTCCGTTGTTGTTGGAGGGCGACTGTCTCCAACTGCCCAGTAGCGTCCTTCACGAGCCTCCTCCATAGAGGCCGATCTTGACACCGCTGGTACCAGTCATCGGCAAGTCCACTCAGCTCCACGTCCTCCTGTACCACGTCACTCCATCTCTTCTCTAGCCCGCTGGTACCGGTCATCGGCAAGTCCACTCAGCTCCACGTCCTCCTGTACGATGTCACTCCATCTCTTCTCTAACCCGCTGGTACCGGTCATCTTCAAGTCCACTCAGCTCCACGTCCTCCTGTACCACGTCACTCCATCTCTTCTCTAGCCCGCTGGTACCGGCCATTAGCAAGTCTAACTCAGCTCCACGTCCTCCTGTACCATGTCACTCCATCTCTTCTCTAGCCCGCTGGTACCGGTCATCGGCAAGTCCACTCAGCTCCATGTCCTCCTGTACCACGTCACTCCATCTCTTATCTAACCCGCTGGTACCGGTCATCGGCAAGTCCACTCAGCTCCACGTCCTCCTGTACGACGTCACTCCATCTCTTCTCTAACCCGCTGGTACCGGTCATCTTCAAGTCCACTCAGCTCCACGTCCTCCTGTACCACGTCACTCCATCTCTTCTCTAGCCGGCTGTGACCGGTCATCGGCAAGGCCACTCAGCTCCACGTCCTCCTGTACCACGTCACTCCATCTCTTCTCTATCCCGCTGGTACCAGTCATGGGCAAGTCCACTCAGCTCCATGTCC